CGTAGTTAAGGTTTCGACTTTCCCCAATATCCTCAATATGTTATGAATTAAATGACCAAGAATCCGTTTCTTAATATATTGCCAATCAATTCTATCTGAGTTAATTACGGCTCAATTCCTTATTACCATAAATCTATGTGATCTTGAAAGAACTCTAGTTCCCCGATTATTTCCCAAGAAAACATGCATTAAGATTAAGAATTTCAAGATTGCATAATTACCTTATGTCTATTCCTATTCCTATTCCTAGATCACAAAGATTATGATAAATTATCAAGTCAAGGTTCATGCACCAACATCCCTATTGTCATACAATTCCCCAAAATCTTCTATAAGGAACAAACTCATAGAAAGCATTAAAGGCGGATAATTTATTCAATTATAAAAAGAACAGGATTCGCAGACAATTTAATTCATAAACATAAAGATTCAATTGGGTTCCATCTACCTTTAACTACATAAAAGACTACTCTAGCATACTGAATTGAAAAGAAATAATAAAGAAAAGAGAACCCCAAGCCTCTATTGGTGTGATGTTGACTTGGTTCCTCAGTGTTCCAGCGCTCCGCAACAGGATTCCTCCGTGTGGCTTGAATGAGTATGAATTTCTGAATTGGTGAATTGGTCTTGACCCCAAGCTCTTTATTTATAGCTTTTTGGGGTTGTATTCTTCATTAAATCTCTAATGAATCCATATCAGATTTGCGGTTGATTTCATCTTTGTTTCCTTTTTGCATTTGATATCTTGGAGATTGTTGACGATTTTGAGCTTTTAAATATTGTTGTGATCTTCCATCACATCTTCTTATTGGAGTTATATCTTATCTCAATCAAGGTTGATGTGTTTCTTCCTTGTATCGTATAGAATCCTGCTGCATATCTTGATAAATCTTTTCCTGGAGTTGCTTTGACCGCGTATGGACATTTTAGCGTGTTGTTTGCACGCTAAAACGTGCTTGATGTGTATTGTTGTCTGCCTCTGGGTGTTTTGGCGTGCTGTTTCACGCTAAAACGTGCTCTTCGAAGGGAAATTGATGTTGTCAGGGCGTTTTAGCGCTCTGTTGGGCGCTAAAACGCTCACGTCTAGTGGATTTTGGTGTTTTCTTCATCTTGAGCGTTTAAACATGATTCATGGACGCCAAAACATCATCTTACAGCTATCACACACTTGAAATCTTGCTTCCTTGAGGCTCCAACTCAACTTGATGTCTTCTTTTGGTTCCAAAGAGGAATAATAGGTGTCAAAAATCCCTTAAAATAAGAATTATGATAACATGTTAGCAAGCTATTCAATTACTGTAACTTTACATTATAAAACCTTAATTTCCATGCAATTCACAACATATATCAATCATAATTAAGCCTAAAAACATGGTAAACCAAGGGTTTATCAACCACTCCCAGATTTGAACATTGCTGTCCTCAGCAATGCACTAGAATAAACTTAATGGAATTCAATCAAGATTTTCAATTGCATGGAATTCACAGGCAGGATTTAATCAGAGAAATGACTACAGAGCATTCAGACTTAAGAAAAGGATGATACATCAAAGCATTAAGATCAATAATTCATCAGTAAAAACTTCCTGAGACACTCCCTCACTAGGAGTTTTAATTCGCTCATACTTAACTGTCTAGAGGGTTGGTGTTTCACTCTTATTCCACTGAATCTACACTACCATAGGCTTGCTTATATTTTCTCTCTCCACAGTTCTTATGATAAATCAAACAGATCAAGAGGTCTTTCGTAAGGATGTAACGTGGCCTGGTGAAAGGGAGGGAAAGAATTTGGAAAAGTTTAAGATCAATATTCAGATTAAGGAACAGAACAAGTGTTTGTTCGTTTCTTCCGGCTGTAAAGCTTTTCTTCTTCTTTCCAGTTCTTTATTCTTTGAACCTTTCTATTTTGTTGTTTTCATATTTTCTTGCTTTTCACTTCTTTTTCTTTCTTTGCTTTGAGCATTTTGCTCGCTCTTCTTGATTCTAATCACTTTCCTTCTTTCTTCCTAGGGCTTTGCCCTTTTTCTTGTACTTATTCATTCCATTGAACACTTGTGTAGTTGAAACTCATATCCACTCCTTACTTGAAATCTGAAATTAATCTTCTATTAAGGTGAGGATTTAATTAGGGAAGTGGCTATTCACATTCAAGGGTTCTTCATGAATAAAAAGTCTAGGCTCAAGGGGCTTAACTAAGGAATATCATAAAGGTTAGCTATTTGGCCATCTAGTTAGAGAAAGAACATGCCTCTATCATCTCTACAGAATAAATCACAGACTATTTCAATCAAGAAACAAAGCAAGTTCTAGAGTATCTCAACAATGGAATGCACACTCAATAAGATTTTTCTGTATAGGCTCAAAACCTCACGGCTATGAATGCACAGTAATTATCCTGTTCTTTTTCTCAAACAACTTTAATATCAACAATATATTCAATGAATCATGTCACTTATTTGCAATGATGCTCATAAAAAAATTGTATAAGTGCATCATCATGCTCTGAATCAATTACTAATTTCAATTTCCCGCCATTTTTCCAATTAACACTGAGAAACTTTAAAAGTTTTCAGAATTTTCACAAAAAATTTTGGCTTGGGGTTTTTCAACAAAAACAATTAAAATTATCTAATTAAACATGAAAAACAAAATTTAAAATGCAAGAAAAAAAATAAATAAGCTAAAGCAAAGGAGAAGGGATTTGAGATAGTTCCCTGTTTTAGCCGAATATTCTGTGTATGCTCATGAAGTTCCTCCGGCTTACTCAATTGTGCTTAGATGAACCACGCGTTCCCCATTCCTAGATTTAAATGTTGTTGTCCTCAGCAACAGATTTAAATCTACAAAGAAATCGCGTGAGAAATAAAACAACTAGTTGCTTTCTCTTGTTGTTTGTTCCCTTTTCTTCACCTGTAAAATTCACTCAATGACAGACATTAGTCTCAACACCTTCTCCTATCTTAATTGAAAATAAAATAAAATAATATAAATAAAATATTTAATTAAATCTAAAAATAGTAAAACCGTGGGTTGCCTCCCTCTAGCGCTTGTTTTAAGTCACGAGCCTGACGTACCTGACTTATGATCATGGTGGCTCAAAGCATAATCTTGGTGATAACCAAGCTCCATCATTCAGAAATTTTGTCCTACCATAGTGCTCTTCTGCATATGGATGAGGTAAAGTAGTCTCAAGAACTTTGAATTTGGTATTTATATGTTTTCCTTTGCTACTGGGCTTCTCCATCTTAACTTTTGGCTTACTTTCTTGAGAAGACTCCGCATGGTGTTCTTCTTCACCTTTCTTTTCACTAATATAGTAGACTTGATCTTTCGGTTGAGCTACAGATGAGGGGACTTCTTTGTCAAAGAACTTGAAAGTTGCTTGCTCTTCGTCTACCCGTAATATCAGCTCACCTTTAAGTACATCAATCAGTGCTCCTAAAGTTGCCAAGAAGGGTCTTCCAAAAATCATAGGAATTGTGGCATCTTCTTCAATGTCAAGGATGCCAAAATCAACAAGAATGATGAATTTGTCTACCTTTACCAATATGTCCTCAATGATGCCATAAGTTTGCTTTGAAGAGCGGTCAGCCAGTTGCACTATTGTCTTTGTGGGCTTCACTTCAGTAATCCCCAGCTTCTTCATCATGGAGAGTGGCATGACATTGATGCTAGCTCCAAGATCACATAAAACATTTTCCACTTCCACTTTGCCTATAGTGCACAAAATGTTGAAGCTCCATGGATCCTTGACTTTGGTAGGCAACTTCTTTTGGATGATAGCATTATTACATTCCTCCGTCAAATTCACCGTCTCACATTCCTGCAACTTACGCTTCCTTGATAATAGATCCTTCATGAACCTTGCGTAGTTGGGCATGTTCTCTAAAGCTTCGGCAAAAGGAATGTTGATCTGCAACCTCCTGAATATGTCTAGAAACTTTGAACACTGCTGTTTCTGAATCTCTTTCTTTAATCTTTGAGGATAAGGGATTCTGGCATATGGGGAGAGATCTAATGGCTTGTTCTGTCTTTCTAGAGCTTTCTTCTTCTCCCACTTGAATAGTTTCTTTTTTGCTTTTTCATGATTGCTTTTGTCAACTTCAATTGTATCCTTTTCCTTTTCTTTCTTCTCTTCTTCAACTGATGCTTCTCCATCCTTCTTCTTTTCTTCGGGCTGTTCCTCTATAGGCTGAATCACTGTCCCACTCCTAGTGGTGATAGCATCGCAATGCTCCCTTGGATTGACAACTGTGTTGCTTGGAAAAGTACCCGGAGCTCTCTCAGAAAATTGCTGCGACAACTGGCTAATCTGAATTTCCAGATTTCTTATGGAAGCTTCTTGATTCCGGTGTGCTGATCTAGTCTCTTGCATGAAAGCAGATGTGTTCTCTCTGAAAGCATTTTCACCTTGAATATAATCAGAAGTGGTCTTGCATAATTGTGCAAAAGCTTTCTCCCACTCAGAAGTGTTACTTTTTTGTGGGGTATCTGGTTGCACTGGAAGGGGAGGATTGAGCTGATGATTGGATTTGTGACTCAACCCTGGATGTTGATTCTGATTCTTCTGATCATACCAGAGTTCATTGACCTCTACTGGTGGCTTTTCAGTTGTTCTCATGTAGTCACAATCTTCAGTTGCATGAGCCTCTGCACAAATACCACATTTAATATTAGAATTATTAACAGAAGAAACTTGAGAAGATTTAAATTTATTTGTAAGAGCATCTAATTGTTCTTGTTGTTTCTTGTGCATTTGCAGCATTTGTTCATTTTGGGCTAAGAGCGCATCATAGCCGTCAAGCTTCATAATTCCTGCTCTCCTTTGTGTAACTGGGGCAGGGGCATTGTCAAATTCCTGAAAAGCTAGAGATTCCAGTAATTCCAGCGCTTCCTCTGGAGATTTTGTTTTCAGTTATCCTCCTGCAGCAGCATTCACCAGTGTTCTTGTGTTGGATGTCATCCCTTGGAAAAAGATTCTTGCCTCCTCCCATGCTTCAATTTTATGTTGAGGACACTTCCTGAGTGATCCCTTGAATCGTTCCCATGCCTCGTACAAAGATTCGCTGTCTTTTTATTCAAAAGCAATGATCTCCGCCTTGAGTCTTGCCATCTTTGAGGCTGAGAAAAATCTGGCCAAGAATTTCCTTGCTAAGTCATCCCAATTGGTTATGCTTCTTTCAGGTAGAGACTGTAGCCAATCTCTTGCTTCATCCTTCAGTGAGCATGGAAATAGCCTGAGCAAGATAGCATCACAAGGAACTCCATTTACTTTTAATGTATCACAGTATAGTAAGAAGTTATCGAGATGACTATAGGGGTTCTCTGTGCTTCCTCCAGCGAACTGTTCTTTTTGAATCAGTTGCAGTAGTGCCGGCTTCAGTTCAAAGTTGTTAGCCTCTATGTTTGGTCTAACAATGCTTGCCGTCTATGGGACTCGAGCTGGGGTCATGTAATCTCCCAATGTCCTTGGAGCGAGTTGATTGTTTCCTGCCATTGGTTCCTCCTTAGGTTCCTCTTTTGGTTCCGTCGAAGTTGATGCCTTTGTTTCTTTCGCTTTCTTTGCTTTTGCGTCCTTCCTAAGTTTCCTTTCTGTCTTTTCTATCTCAGGATCAAACTTCAAGATTCGCGGGTTAAGAGTACCTCGCATAAATTAAGATTGAAAAGATATGCAGAAAAATAGAAAAAAAGACAAAACAAAAAAACAGAAAAAATAAAATAAAAATAAAAATAAACAAAGAATGCAGAAAAATAAATATGCAGAAAATTGATGCAGAATTTTAATGCAGAAAAATATTTTTGAAGAATGTAAAAAGTGCAGAAAATTAAAACGTCCAATCTAAAAGTTAATTAGTTACTTCTAATGTTGAAGAATTCGATCCCTGGCAACGGCGCCAAAAACTTGTTGCAACTCGACAAGTGCACCGGTCGTAAAGTAATAAAGTGTACCAGAGTACGAGATCGTTCCCACGAGGATCAGAATCTTCAAGCACTAGTTCACTAATTGCGCCTTAGTTGGACAATCAAGAATTTAGATGAAGAGAATTGTATTTGAAGAACTTAAAATTAAAAACAAGTAATAAGATTCAATAAAAGAAAATTCAGAATTAAAAGAATGAATAAAAAGATGATGATTAAGAATGTAAAATAAAAGTAGTTAAGGTTTCGACTTCCCCCAATATCCTCAATATGTTATGGATTAAATGACCAAGAATCCGTTTCTTAATATATTGCCAATCAATTCTATCTGAGTTAATTACGGCTCAATTCCTTGTTACCATAAATCTATGTGATCTTGAAAGAACTCTAGTTCCCCGATTATTCCCAAGAAAACATACATTAAGATCAAGAATTTCAAGATTGCATAATTACCTTATGTCTATTCCTATTCCTATTCCTAGATCACAAGGATTATGATAAATTATCAAGTCAAGGTTCATACACCAACATCCCTATTGTCATACAATTCCCCAAAATCATTCTATAAGGTACAAACTCATAGAAAGCATTAAAGGCGGATAATTTATTCAGTTATAAAAAGAACAGGATTCGCAGACAATTTAATTCATAAACATAAAGATTCAATTGGGTTCCATCTACCTTTAACTACATAAAAGACTACTCTAGCATACTGAATTGAAAAGAAATAATAAAGAAAAGAGAATCCCAAGCCTCTATTGGTGTGATGTTGACTTGGTTCCTCAGTGTTCCAGCGCTCCGCAACAGGATTCCTCCGCGTGGCTTGAATGAGTATGAATTTCTGAATTGGTGAATTGGTCTTGACCCCAAGCTCTTTATTTATAGCTTTTTGGGGTTGTATTCTTCATTAAATCTCCAATGAATCCATATCAGATTTGTGGTTGATTTCATCTTTGTTTCCTTTTTGCATTTGATATCTTGGAGATTGGTTGACGATTTTGAGCTTTTAAATCTTGTTGTGATCTTCCATCACATCTTCTTATTGGAGTTATATCTTATCTCAATCAAGATTGATGTGTTTCTTCCTTGTATCGTATAGAATCATGCTGCATATCTTGATCAGATCTTTTCCTGGAGTTGGTTTGACCGCGTATGACGTTTTAGCGTGTTGTTTGCGCGCTAAAACGTGCTTGATGTGTATTGCTGTCTGCCTCTGGGCTTTTTGGTGTCCTGTTTCACGCTAAAACGTGCTCTTCGAAGGGAAATTGATGTTGTCAGGGCGTTTTAGCGCTCTGTTGGGCGCTAAAACGCTCACCTCTAGTTGATTTTGGTGTTTTCTTTATCTTGAGCGTTTAAACATGGTTCATGGACGCCAAAACGTCATCTTACAGCTGGTACACACTTGAAATCTTGCTTCCTTAAGGCTCCAACTCAACTTGATGTTTTCTTTTGGTTCCAAAAAGCAATAATAGGTGTCAAAAATCCCTTAAAATAAGAATTATGATAACATGTTAGCAAGCTATTCAATTACTGTAACTTTACAGTATAAAACATTAATTTCCATGCAATTCACAACATATATCAATCATAATTAAGCCTAAAAACATGGTAAACCAAGGGTTTATCACCTGTCGGAGACGGCTTCGCCAGAGTTTTGCAGCTTTATGAAATGTTGCCTCAAGAAGGAGTCGGGTGAGAGATGGACAACTGCTCAACTCTTGACCCACCTATTTGTGTCTAAAGACGTAGAAATTTTTTGTTGAGTCGGGTCGAATCCATTTTTGAGTTATTTTTGTGTTGGGGAGTTATTAATTAGCCTTTGTGGATTCAATTTGACTCTGTATATTATTCTAAGTAGTGTTCAGTGAATTCAGGATTCAGGTTAAAGCTAAATTGCTGCTGAATGAAATGAATGAATGAGTAATCTATGGTTCTTTTATCATCAATTCAGTATTCTCTTGCTGTTTCAATTTTTAGGAGCAAGTGATTCAAGTCACAAGTGGTATTCATAATGTTATATCATTATATGTAACAAACATATTAGAGGTTAAAATGGGAGTTAGAATATATGATATTTTTAATAACTCTTAATGGTAAGATAATGTTTATCCAATAATGAATGTTAATTAATCTTAGCTCAAAATTTATATGGATTAATTATCAAAGCAATGCCTTTAACTCCCATGAAGGAAATGGTGTGGGAGTTGAAAATGAGAGAAAGCATGTATATCCAAATTAAGCTAAGTGTGCGGAAGTTGGAAGGCACTGTCAAGTTGAGTAAACTTCTCTCGTCATGGATGTCGTCACTTTGTTTAGACGTTTTTCTATGCACTAATTTCAACTCTAGTGCACCATTCACGCGGAGAAAGAAAATTAGAAAAAGGGAAATGAAGTGAAAAAAATATGTTTGGAAGAAGAGAAAAAGAAAAAAGAGAAACAAAATGGGATTTAGCTTCTTTTCTTTTCTTTTTTATCCTCTTATTTGGTTAGATAAAAAAACAAGAGGGAAGACAAAGGAAATGTTATCGTGTAAAATGATACATCACTTTTTTTATTAATAGAATGAAAATGATGTGTTTATTGTAACTGTTCTATCTTGGAGACAGAGATGTCTAACCCAGTGGGCTAGTATATTGATCTTGGATCTAGTACCCTCTCCAAAGTATCTATGAAGAAGATACCCTTGAGTCAAGCAGATCACTATGCACAATAAAGCAGTAATGGCTTTGTCAAAAGGGGGGATGTGTGTACGCACAACGACAACATAACAGTAAGAGAAAGAGCGTGCGTACTTGTAGGTTTTACCTCTCATTTATAGGATTTACTTGTAGGTAGTAGATTATGGACCTTTATTTCCTCTGATGATGGCCCAGATCCATCTGCCATGCTGTCGTATTAGGATTGGTATCCTTGATGGATATCTTTCCATATTCATACTTGATTTAAATCTTAGATTGCCCCTTGTTGGGCTTGTTCGTCAATGGGCCCCTTATATGGGTCCATAACAGTTACCCCTTAACCAGGCTGCCTGGGTGTCTGGATTGCCGGGGTGAATTTTCTTTCGCATTGATTCAAGTTTTTGTCGAGAATGTCCGAGTTCTTGTTGAACTCCTTACGCATATGCTCTGAACTTTGATTCTTTTGGAACGGGAATAGTACTTCATTGCCCCTTATCTTGTCGGGTTGAGTATGCAATAGGGTTAGATACTGTATATGTTCCTTTTAGTTGGGTTATGAATGGGCTTGAGTTGTTGGGATTCAACTGGCGAGTTGCCCCCAAGCGCATCATTCTCGTAACCCGGCTTGACGTCATTGTGTCTGGGTGTCCATTTCATGGATCCCAGTTGTGTTGTTTTAGTTTCCCTTGCCGACTTTTCTGTCGATAATCATTTCATTTTGACACGTGGTGCTTGTCGCATTTGTTAGCGCGCTGCAGCCATTTTGTGTCATTTTAGCATTCCGTGCACATTTATTGGATATGTCGTTTCAATCGTCTAATCATTACTTTTGGGGTGTAATGATTTCAATGCCCTTGACCTTTGCAATTCCTAACTGTTGCGGTTACCATTATGAGTATATAAACATGCGTCCTTTTCCTTATTTTATTTTTACTTTAGTTATTCTGCATAAGTTTTTCTTTGCGCGACCTCCTTGAGTACTAGCATTCGCCAGTGCATTTTCATATACCTTGCAAATTCATTTCTTCTACTAAGGTATCTTTGTTTGGCTTCCAACTTTTTTTCTTTACTTCTTCAATCTTTGCATTTGGCTATTTGATTGCTGCATGTTCGTTCTTTTGATACTTTATATATAGTTCTGGGAAATCATTTATTGGTTGCATTTTTGGTTTCTCCCATGATTTTGCCTTTTGGGGAAGTGCATGTTCTTTGCCCTTTGATATTTAAACAACATTATTGTCTGCTTCACGATATAAATGAGTACCGGTGAAGTATTCTAAAAAATTATAATAAAAATATAAATATTCCTAGAAAAATATCTAGGTCTAGGATATCAAGTTTGGAGTAAGAATAATGAGCGGTGATGCCAAAAATATTACCGGCTACGTATAAAATGCGTACCGATAAAGTGCTACGAAAATTATAAGAAAAATATGATAATTCCTAGAAAAATGGTTAGGTCCAGAATATGAAGTTTGAGATTAAAATAATTAACGGAGCTATTAGAACT